ATATCCATATATCCACTCTTTTCCAGATTCTTTTCCCATGTAGGTCATTATAGAGAATTGACTTTCCTATGCTATACAGTAGGTCCTTATTAGTTATCTATTTTATACACAGTAATGTGCATATATCAGTCCCAATCTTCCAATTTATCCCTCCACCTTCCTTACCCTCTGGGAACCATAAGTTTCTTTTCTATATCTGTAATTTCATTTGTGTTTTGCAGATGAGTTCATTTTTACCTTTTTTTATTAAGATTCCTCATAATAGTAATATCATATGATGTTTGTCTTCACTCAGTATGACAACCTCTAGTTCCATCCATGTTGCTGTAAATGGCATTATTCCATTGTTTTTTATGACTGAGAAATATTCCCTTGTATGCATGTACCACATCTTTATCCATCCCACTATAGATAGACATTTAAATTGTTTCCATGTCTTGGCTATTGTAAATAGTGCTGCAGTGAGCATTGAGGTGCATATTGACTGTACCAGTTCATATCTAAATATAAAAGAATGAACTTTAAACACTTCCTAACATAATAGAAAATCTTTAAAAGATGCACAGAGATTGGGCCAGCTATCTGGCCCAAAAAAAGAGTGAGATTATCTTTTATTCCATTTTGAAATTAGATTGTACATCTGTTTCACATTGATTGTAGCTCTTGTTTTATTATTGAAGCATATGTACAATATTGGTTTCAGGTGTATAGCATAGTGGTTCAACATTTATGTACATTATGAAATGATCTCCACAATAAGTCTAGTTACCATCTGAACTATACAGAGTAATTAGTTACAATGCTATTGACTATATTCCCTATGTTGTACATTTCATCCCCATGGCTTATTTATTGTATGACTAGAAGGTTATAGTTCATAATCCTCTTCATCAGTTTCATCCATTCCCCCACCCCCCATCCCTACCCCCTCTGTCAACCACCAGTTTGTTCTCTGTGTCTATGAATCTGTTTCTGTTTGAGAAGTCTGTACCTCTTAATCTCCCTCACCTATTTCACTGATCCCAGCATCCTCCTCCCCTCTGGCAACCATGTTTGGTTTCTGGTATCTATAAATCTGTTTCTGTTTTGTTATGTTTGTTCCTGTTTTGTTTATTAGCTTCCACATATAAGTGAAATCTTATGGTATTTGTTTTCTCTGTCTGATTTATTTCATTTAACATAATACCCTTTACATCCATCCATATTATCACAAATGGCAAGATTTTATTCTTTTATGGTTGAGTAATATTCCATTTATTTTTGTATAAATACACACACATATTTATACATATATATATATATATATATATATATATACATCACTATTTCTTTATCCATTTATCTAACAATGGGAACATAGATTGCATCCATATCTTGGCATTTGTAAATAATGTTGCAAAAATATAGGGGTGCACATATAAAAATATAAAGCTCATGCTTTTATTTTTCTTTTTTTGGACAAATCCCCAGAAGTAGAATTGCTTCCTAATATGGTATTTCTGTTTTTAATTACATATTTGAGGAACTTCCATATAGTTTTCCATAGTGGGTACACCAATTTACATTTCCACCAAATGTGTAACAGTGTTCTCTTTTCTCCACATCCTCGCCAACACTTGCCATTTGTTGTCTTTTTAATTGTAGCCATCTGACAGCTATGAGATGATATTTCATTGTGCTTTTGATTTTCATTTACTGGATGATTAGTGACACTGAGCATTTTTTCATGTATCTTTTGGCCATGTGTATGTTTTTTTGAAATATGTCTATTCAAGTCCTCTGCTTATTTTTTAACCAAGTTGGTTTTTGATATTGAATTGTATGAGTTCCTCATATATTTGGGATGTTAACCCTTTATCTGATACGTGTTTTGAAAGTTTTTTCTTCTGTTCAGTAGACTGTCTTCTCATTCTATTGATAGGTTCCTTCACCATTCAAAAACTTTTCAGTTTGATGTACTCCCATTTGTTTATTTTTGGTTTTGTTTCTCTTGTTTGGGGAGATAGGTCCAAAAAAAAGTATTGCTAAGAACAAAGTCAAAGAGCCCCCATGTTTCCTTCTGGGAATTTTGTGGATTCAGGTCTTACATTTGATTCTTTAATAAATTTTGAGTTTATTTTTGTATATGGTGTAGTAAAGAAATTAGATTATTTTGCTTGTAGCTGTCCAATTTCCCCCACACCATTTATTGAAGAGGCTTTCTTTTCCCCTTTGTATATTCTTGCCTCCTTTGCCATAGATTGATTGACCAAATAAGTATGAATTTATTTCTGGTCTCTCTGTTTTGATTCATTGATCTAGGTGTCTATCTTTATGCCAGTACCACACTGTTTGATTACTGTCACTTAGTAGTATATACTGAAGTCAGGAGACATGATATTTCAAGCTTTATTCTTCTTTCTAAGGTCATTTTGAAGAGAGATTTTTTTAACCATAAATGGATACTGAATTTTGTCACAGGCTTTTTCTGCATCTATTGAGATGATCATATTTTTATTCTTGAATTTGCTAATGTGGTGCATCACATGGATTTATTTGTGGATACTTGTACATCCTTGTATCCTTGGGATAAATCCCACTTAATCATGGTGTATAATCCTTTTCATATATTGTTGACTTTGGCGTGGTAATATTTTCCCATTTTTGCATTTGCATTCACTAGTCATATTGACCTGTATTTTAGCGGGATCTTTGTCTAGTTTTTGTATCAAGATGTTGCTGGCCAAGATGTTGCTCAAAATTCTCCAAGCCAGGCTTCAACAATACATGAACCATGAACTTCCAGATGTTCAAGCTGGATTTAGAAAAGGCAAAGGAACCAGAGACAAGTCAATTTCTCCTTTTCTATCAGTCATTTAATATTTGCTTTATGTGTTTATATGCTCCTATATTGGACTCATATATATTTACAATTGTTGTATATTCTTCTTGGGTTATTCTTTTATCATTACATAATGTCCTTCTTTGTATCTGTTACAGTCTGGTTTTTTTTTTTCATTTATTTTTATTAGTTGGAGGCTAATTACTTTATAATATTGTAGTGGGTTTTGTCATACATTGAGATGAATCAGCCATGGATTTACATGTATTCCCCATTCCGATCCCCCCTCCCACCTCCCTCTCTACCCAATTCCTCTGGGTCTTCCCAGTGCACCAGGCAGTCGGTTTTTAAAATCTATTTTGTCTAAGTATTGCTTTTCCAGTATTGCTTTCTTTTCATTTCATTTGCATGAACTATCTTTTTCCATCTCCTCATTTTCAGTGTGTGTCTTTAGATAAGATGTGAATGTCTTGTAGCATCATATATATGGGTCTTATTTTTTCATCCATTCAGCCATTCTATGTTTCTCATTATTTTATGTATTTTTTGACCACTCCATGTGGCAAGTGGCATCTTCTTCCAGCAGGACCAGGGGTCAAACCAGCCCCCTGCAGTGGGACCAATGGATCACCAGGGAAGACCCATCCTATGTCTTTTGATTAAAGCATTTAGTCCATTTACAGTTTAAGTTCATATGTACGTACTTACTGCCATTTTGTTGTTTTCTATTTTTGTACTTCTCTGTTTCTTTCTTCTCGTGCTCTTTTCCCTTGTGATCTGATGACTGTCTTTAAGTCTATGTTTGGACTCTTCCTCTTTATTTTTTTATGTATTTATGGAAAATTTTTGTTTGTGGTTACCATGAGGTTCATATATTGTTGTTTAGTTGCTAAGTCATGTCCAACTCTTTTGTAATCCATGGACTGCCAGGCTCCTGTGCCCATGAGATTTCCCATGCAAGAATACTAGAGTGAGTTTCCATTTCCTACTCCAGGGGATCTTGCTGACCCAGGGACTGAACCTATGTCTCCTGCATTGGCAGGTGGATTCTTTACCACTGAGCCACCAGCAAAGCCCAGAAGTTCATATATACCAACATATGTATATAACTATCTATGCTGATGATCCCTTCAGTTTGAACACATTCTAAAATCTTAAATTTTTACTCCCTCTGCCACATTTTATTTTTTTATGTCAAATTTTATATATTTTGTGTATCTTTTAACTACCATTGTAGACATAGATGATTTTACTACTTTTTTACTTTTAACCTTCCTTCTAGCTTTTTAAGTAGCTAATTCACTACCGTTACTATATGCTTTCTATTACCAGTGAGTTTTTTTTTCTGTCATAATGTTTCTTATTTCTAGCTGGCCTTTTCTTCCACTTGGAGTGGCCCCTTTAACACTTCTTGAAAGGCTGATTCAGTGGTGAACTGCTTCAGCTTTTGATTGTATATATGTAAAATTCTTTCTCTCTCCTTAAATCTGAATGATAACCTTGCCAGGTAGAATAGTCTTATTTGTAGGAGTTTTTGCCTTTCATCACTTTGAATGTATCATGCCACTCCCTTCTGATTTGCAGTTTCTGCTGAAAAGACTTATGGTACTTCCCTTGTATGTAACTGGTTATTTTTCTCTTGCTACTATTAACATTCCATCTTTTTTTTATTGGAATATAATTACTTTGCAATATTGTACTAGTTTCTGATTCGGTCTTCATCTTTAGTATTTGACACTTAATTGGTGTGGATCTATTTGTGTTCTCCAAAATGGAAGGTCTCCATGTTGAAGAAACAGACTTAAGTAGGGAATGTGCTATGGAGCCCAGCAGCACCTTCCCTTCCAGCCACCAGAACCAAGTGTTTCAGGGCTTTTCCTGAGTAGGCTGTGTACACCTTTCTGCTTTGGATATACTGATTGCTGTCAGCACACTGGAATGCAGTGCTGGCCCTCGGCCTGGCTGATTGCAAGGTCCTGCTGTGTGCTGTTGCTTCAGGTATGCTGCAGGGGCAGAACAATCTCCAGGCACAGCTGGTTTTGAGGCCCAGGGGCATGTAATTACTGGGGACTTACTGGTGGGCAGGCAGAGCCCAGTGCAGCTGGCTGAGAATCTCAGTGTCACGTGAGCACTGGTGAGGAGTACAGGCCCCCAGCCCAACTGACTGGAGCCCAGTGGCATGCAGCTGGTACAGGAGCAGGTAGTGGGAGAGGCCCCTGGCACGGCTGGGTATGAGGCCTGGCAGCATGCAAATACTACAAGCACACCTGTAGGTGGGACAAACCCCAGTACTGATACCCTAGAAGGAGGACTCCAAAATGACACCCACCAGCATTTGTATGCGCATGGTAGAATATGGTGACAAAATGGTTATCTCTAGTGTCTCAGTCCCTATGAGGAGTCTCAGATGCCTCCTGCCCCTCCAGGAACTTACCCAAGGTAAACAAGTAAGTCTAACATCAGTGGCTTTCAACCTGCTAACTCTGCCCTGGAACTCAGAGCAAGTGAGTTTTTGCCCTTTAAAAGCAGAAGCCCAGTTTCCTACAGGCCTTGGGCTCCTCCAAGTGTAAGCCCTCCCAGTGTTCAAAGTCAGATGTTTTGAGAGCTTCTCTTCCTGGTGCAGGACCCCCAGGCTGAAGAGCACAACGTGGGGACTGAACTCCTCAGTCTCAGGAGAACCTCAGTGATCCTCACTTTCTCCTGCATGTGCATTACTACCCCGAGGGTGTGTGTCCTGCCTGTTATCCATTTCACTGTGGCTCCTTTTATATATCTTTAGTTGTAGGAAACCTTTACTGCTTTTCATCAGGTTGTTCTCAGAGATAGGTGCTCTATAAGTTGTTGTGATTTGTCCGTTACAGGAAATAAGCTCAGGATCTCCCTACTCTGCCTTCTTGATCTAATGGTGAGATTCTTTCCTGTGGAGTCAAAAAGTCTTGAAGACCAGAGTGGAAATTGTTGCAAGAATTTTGAGTCTGTGGACTTCTATTTCTTTCAAGAAACTATTTTGTTTTGGTAACATTGGACACTAAGTAAATACTTACTAAAGAACAAATTGCTTAATTAATTTTCACTCAATGTATTTCCTCATTGACTCTTTAGGCTAAATTAACAAGATTTTGCCAAAGGCTAGCTTTGGTTACTTCCAGAACAATACCTCTTTAGTATGTCTGTGTACAAATGCAGTAATAGTTGCAATTATGTTTGTTTGTTTTTTATTTTTATTGGTGTATAGTTGCTTTATAATATAGTTTCTGCAGTGCAGTAAATTGAATCAGTTATATGTATGCATATATCCCCTCTTTTTTGAATCTCCTCCCCATTTAGGTCACCACAGAGCATTATTCTACTAGACAAATATCCTCTGAGTTTGGGAAAATTCTTAAATACATTATACACTGAAAAATAGAAATTAAATGCGTAAAATATAATGGAGGGATTGAGAAAGGTCAAATGAATAATCCTAGGCTTTGGTCTCTTCATATCCATCAGAAATATCTAACAGCAGAGCATGGTAGAATATAGGTGCTGCCCTTGGCTAAGTACCATCTTCAGCCCCAGACACTTCACTCTGCATTTCTTGCTCAACATTCTGCCAGGAAAAAACCCTGGATGACAAAGGTGTGTGATGCATGTGTTATTCACCTCTGTTCTTATGATAGTAAAAATTTGTCTGAAAAGGAGAGTTTAGTCATTATGTCAAATTTTCTTAATTTCAAAATTAGTTTTCTAAAATGTCAAAAGGCTTATTTATCTGGCTGCTGTTACAGACCTCCACTTTCAACTAAATAGACCAGACATGTCTGCTAATGTTGGTGACAACAAATATAAACCTTGTAACCAACCCATTTACAGTAATATCTATTCAGTAGCTTTTTAAAGAAAACACATATAGAGTCTAAGGAATAGTCTGAATGCTATAAATTAATTGGTGAATTAGTTAACTCATCACAAGGGTCATTTAGAGTGACGGGGAACTCCATGACTCTAAAGAAACCGTGGGAACCAGCACGGTTGAATTGTTCACATTCATTTCACTGAATTTAGAGGTGTAGGGAAAGTTTTCAGAGTTTTCTCTGAATTTTATTAACGTCCCTAGAAGACTGACATATGAAAACTGTAGCCGAGAAAGAAGAAAAATACACAGAACTAGGGTTCAGGCAGGCTTACCAAACCTATCAAGATGCACAAACACTGGCTCACTTCTGACTTCTTCGGGAGGTAAGCACACAGGTGGAATGGAGAGTTCTCTGACAGGGTTCACGATCATCTCAAACTTTCACAGGTCAAATGCTGACAAACATGAGGCGAGGTTTCCCAAAGTGTCCCAGACATCCCTTAGACAGTTGGAGACAAAACTGTATTTCACTCGATTGTCTTAAAAACTAATGACTCAAAATAAACTTTAACCTGAAGGTCTTGTATAAGAATTTATATAGTTTCTTCACTTTTCTGAATAATGCATTTCTGTTCTTTATAAATTAATTTAATTCCCATGGCAGATCAGGACATCATTTATGGTTTAAGAAAATTGGGGGGAATAAAAGGTCAGACTAGAGCTAGATGTGGTAGTGGAAAAATATCTGGCCGGTATATTTCATGGAATGTTTTGCAATCGCCTTTAAAATCTCTGGAAAGCTAGTCCTGAAGAACTTTATAGAAATTAAGGAGTTATTGGCAAGGCCTCTTGACTGAGACAGCTCAGTGGAAATATACCAATCCCAAAAAACAATAATTTAAGTTCTCCCTCTTCTTTTTCTAACGATCGCCTGCCATCTAGTGGATGTATCACAGTTGTCAGGATTTGCTTTCTTGAAAACAATCAGTAGTACTCACTGGAATAAAGTAACAATTTTTTAAAAAAAACTAAGTACAGGGCAGGAGCTTGTAGTATGGCCCACCCCCCAGAATAAACCATATCTCAGGGGAAAACTTGAAAGAATCATGGTGGAGTCTTTTCTTACCAAGACTTTAAAAAACAGATTAATTTTGTGCTGGGCTAATCAAAAACCAACCCCATTAAATCCAAGCAAAATCAAAGTAAATTAAAAAAGAAAATTGCTATTTTTCATACTTTCTCCGCATGTTATTTTTGTGTTAATTCAATAAATTTATTTTGCTTCAACATAATATAATATTAACATTTGTGCCAAAAATCATGTAATCAACACTTTTTTACTGAGCAACTTCAAAGATCTATGCCATGGGAAATACAAAAAAAAGGAAGAGATATAAACCCAGCATTTACATTTACAATGCAGTCAGGGACAGAGTAATAATCCAAATGCAGCAGTTAGCAATTATGCTAACTTAAGTGATCCAAAGGAAGGCAAAGAGATAGATCCATGAGAACAGGAGAAACTGGGAAAAGTTTGTAGTGACACCTTAGGTGTATTTTGAATATAATTTGGAGACAGTGAAGAAGTGTTTTGTGGGAAGGGAGATTTATGTCTTAACACAAAGAGAAGGAAAATGGATCTTAATGATATAGACTCAAGAAGGTGGCCTACAAATTTAAGCCATTTTGTATGCTTATCAAATATCACCTGAGCAAAATTTGTGAAGATCTTTATGAAAAAGGTAAGTATAATTGCTACTACCATGTGAGTCATTAGACCCTTTCTTATTTGCCCTCAATCAGCAACAACTGGGGCCTCCCTGGTTGCTCAGACAATAAAGAATTTGCCTGCAATGAAGAAAACCTGGGTTCGATCCCCCGGTCAGGAAGATTCCCTGGGGAAGGGAATGGCTACCCACTCCAGTATTCTTGCCTTGAAAATTCCATGGACAAAGGAGCCTGGCAGACCCAAGCCCAAGAAACCCAAACAGAGAGTCCCAAACAGGATAAACCCAAGGCGAAACACCCCAAGACACATATTAATCAAATTAACAAAGATCAAACACAAAGAACAAATATTAAAAGCAGCAAGGGAGAAACAACAAATAATACACAAAGGGATTCCCATAAGGATAACAGCTGATCTATCAATAGAAACCCTTCAGGCCAGAAGGGAATGGCAGGACATACTTAAAGTAATGAAAGAGAATAATCTACAACCTCGATTACTCTACCCAGCAAGGATCTCATTCAGATATGAAGGAGAACTCAAAAGCTTTACAGACAAGCAAAAGCTGAGAGAATTCAGCACCACCAAACCAGCTCTTCAACAAATACTAAAGGATCTTCTCTAGACAGGAAACACAGAAAGGTGGTATAAACGTGAACCCCAAACAACAAAATAAATGGCAACGGGACCACACCTATCAATAATTACCTTAAATGTAAATGGGCTGAATGCCCCAACCAAAAGACAAAGGCTGGCTGAATGGATACAAAAGCAAGACCCCTATATATGCTGTCTACAAGAGACCCACCTCAAAGCAAGGGACACATACAGACTAAAAGTGAAGGGCTGGAAAAAAATATTCCACGCAAACGGAGACCAAAAGAAAGCAGGAGTCGCAATACTCATATCAGATAAAATAGACTTTCAAATAAAGGCTGTGAAAAGCGACAAAGATGGACACTACATAATGATCAAAGGATCAATCCAAGAAGAAGATATAACAATTATAAATATATATGCACCCAACATAGGAGCACCGCAATATGTAAGGCAAACGCTAACGAGTATGAAAGAGGAAATTAATAATAGTAACACAATAATAGTAGGAGACTTTAATACCCCACTCACAACTATGGATAGATCAACTAAACAGAAAATGAACAAGGAAGCACAAACTTTAAAGGACAATTATGGACCAGCTAGACCTAATTGACATCTATAGGACGTTTCACCCCAAAACAATCAACTTCACCTTTTTCTCAAGTGCACACGGAACCTTCTCCAGAATAGATCACATCCTGGGCCATAAATCTAGTCTTGGTAAATTCAAAAAGATTGAAATCATTCCAGTCATCTTTTCTGACCACAGTGCAGTAAGATTAGATCTTAATTACAGGAAAAAAATTATTAAAAATTCAAACATATGGAGGCTAAACAACACGCTTCTGAATAACCAACAAGTCATAGAAGAAATCAAAAAAGAAATCAAAATATGCATAGAAATGAATGAAAATGAAAACACAACAACCCAAAACCTATGGGACACTGTAAAAGCAGTGCTAAGGGGAAGATTCATAGCATTACAGGCCTACCTCAAGAAACAAGAAAAAAGTCAAATAAATAACCTAACTCTACACCTAAAGCAACTAGAGGAGGAAGAAATGAAGAACCCCAGGGTTAGTAGAAGGAAAGAAATCTTAAA